CCATACATTAACTTAAGATGATCCAGACAAAGTAAGGAAAGCAATCCCAAATGCTTTCATTTACTTAAAATTATTTGGCAGAGAATTCGACACTTTAATGATGGTCTGGGCCTGGCTGGGGCAATTGCACGCATGCCCACAGAGAGGGCTCTGAGTGCCACCTCTGGCACCCGTGCCATAGGTTCGCCACCACTGTCTTAGAGGGAACACTACTCGTGGCCCTTTCTTACACGCCCGGGGAAATGCCGGTCGCTACTTTGGGGTCAGGCGGCCGTTTTTCTCCAGGCCAGTTTGCCTGGAGATCCTGGAGGTTTTTTGCCCTCTTCTGAGCGTGGAGCAGGAGTCACTGGGCTTTTTTTTGGGGGGGGGAGGTTTTTGTGAATTCCCTGCCTTGTGCAGGGGGGGGGGTTGGACTAGACGACCCCGCCGGGTTCTTTCCACGATTCTAGGATTCTAAGCACAAGAAGGACTAGAACCTTGGCTTTCAAAGGATCTCGGCTGGAGGGAAAGCCGGTCTTCCGTGATGCATGGCAGTGCCGGCATCTCCCCCCTCCTCTTTTATTTATTTATTTATCCTTGGATTTATATCCCGCCCTACCCCGAAGGCTCAGGGCGGCTGACAAGGGCACAATGTGCCAAGATTATAACAATAAATGGTGGGGACACGCCTCGGGGGGGGGGGGAGAGCCCCTTGCCAGCCCAACTGGCCCCTCGCTGCAACCCAGAAACTCTGCCCTTTCTCTCCCCTGCTCCCTGACTGTATAAAAGCTCACACACAAGCAAGTGCAGCAGGCGATGCACACACCAGCCACCCCCACTGTGGCAGGGACGTCCCTCGAAGGATCGAGTGTCCGCAAGCCTTGAGCCCGACTGGAGGAAATGTGCCAAGGGAGCTGCCCCCGTCTCCCTCTGGGGGGCATCTCACCCAGTGACTCCCACACACCACCTGTGGCTGGGCAACAGGGCGGAAGGGGGCTCTTGGGAAAGCGCCGGTCCTGCTTGGCAGTTCTGTCCCAGCCGGGAAAACTTTCCCCACTCTTATGGTCCCCGTTCCTGAGCGGCTGACCTGACGCCTGCGAAGGAACGGAAGGATCCGGGCGCCCTGCTGGACTGGCCAGCCCATCGCAGCCCAGCTTCATCCAGAGCGAGAGAGGCCCGCCCCCCCACCTTCTGCTCCCCCCAAAGCAAGCCACAGCCCACCGCAGGCAGGGCTGTTCCGTTTCGTCCCTGTTCATAATTTCCCACCCCATCCTATTACAAAAAACAGCAGACCGGGAAACAGAGAGGGGGACGGGAAATTTCACACACACACACGACCCCCGCCCGAACGTGATCTCCCGACTTCCCCTCAACCCGCTCCTAACCTAAATTTCCCCTGCTCTGCCTCCCACCCCCCACCCACCCCCGGTTTGCTGTCATCTGATGGCTGCCGGCCCTCTCGGCCAGCCCTCGGCACATGATCTGTGAAGAGGGGCACACTGGAGCTCGCACCGCCCCCCACGAGTGTTCCTAGATCCCTCCTAACCCCCCCTCCCCCGGAAAAGTCCAAAACTGCAGTACGGTGGCCAGCAGCACAGGACGGCTACTGGTCGGAGGCTCCCGAAGAGCAGGATTTGGGGCGTGATTCTCTGTTGCTGGGGAGCTGCTGGGGGTGCCGGAAAGCGTCTTCGTCGTATTCCGTTTGGCGATATTCCCACAGCCGGAGGTTGCCGTCCCACTGTGGCCAGGAGAAAGGAATAGGGTGGTCAGTGCTCCCTCTGAGCGGTGGCGTCTTGTGAGCAAAAATTCTACTTTGTGAGCGACTGGCGTTAAAAGTTGTGAGTGTTAAAAATTAGTTTGCTCAGGAGCCCTCCTTCCTGAGCTAGGACAGAAACGTGTGAGCCGGAGGCTAAAAAAGGGTGAGCTTAGCTCACACTAACTCAGCTTAGAGGGAATACTGATGGTGGTTAAAATACTTCTGCAGGGCTCTTTACCTCTCTCAAGCCAAGCAACGGCCACATTCCAAGAGCAGGGAAAGGCAAAGGGACAGCAGGACACTGAGGCTCCAAACCACTAGATCGGGAGTCCCCAACGTGGTGCCAATAGGCACCGTGGCCCCACTGGGTGTTTTTATACAATGGGTGGGGCTTTTGCCCAGCAAGGCTTCTGACTAGCCACTGGACATTTGATTGGCGGTGCAGATCTTTAAAAATGTTGCTTTGGCCAACCCAGCGCAAGGATATTCCCTGTGTGACCGAAGTCATGCCGCAGCAGCCATTTTGTGGCTGGCTCAATCTCTTGCGGCAGCCATTTCGTGGCTGCGCCCACAAAGCTTCAGGGGCCGCCTGCCCATGTCCCAAGCAAGGCTCCCTCTAAGCTGTGGCGTCTGGTGAGCAAAAATTCCACTTTGTGAGCTACTGGCATTAAAATTGAGCCATCTGGCCATTGCATAAATTAGTGTGCTCTGGAGCCATCCTTCCTGAGCGAAGACAAAAATGTGTGAGCCGGAGACTAAAAAATTGTGAGCTAGCTCACACTAACTCAGCTTAGAGGGAACACTGATTAGGTGTGATATGTGGAGGGGTGGTAGGCATGGAGAGGTCCATATAGAGATGGAGAAAATTACGAAATGTAAGATTAAGAAGGAGCCTGAAATGCTACTTCTGGGACTTAAAGTGGAAGAAGTCAACATTGCAAAACGGACTTTAATGTGGTATATGATCACAACTGCTAGAATGACATATGCTCAATGCTGGAAACAAGAAAGAACTCCCGGGATTTGGGAGTGGTTAAAAAAGTTACTCTTTATGGTGGAAGTGGACAAAATGACAAGAAAGCTAAAGAATCAAGAAGCGGAAGAATTCTTTGCAGACTGGAAAGACTTTAAAGAATATTTAGAGAAATACTGGGATGTGAAAAATAATCTATTTTGCTTTGATAACTATTGAAGATAGAAGGACATTTAGAGTAAGTTTAAACATATAAGAACAACAGTTAAAAGATAGGTTATCTGAAGAACTTTATTATTAAAGAATAGAAAAAAGAGGAAAAATATAAGATTTGGACTGGAGGTTGGAGCACTGTGGGAAGTCAGAAGAGGGGATACTAGGAGAAAAGGGTATAAGATAGTCGATAAGATGATGTATAGTTTGGCTTATTGATATATCGTAAAAATTTTTTTATTTTTTTTTTAAAAGAGAGATACCAGTGTTGGTAATGAGACGGGAAAACCTAGGTCTTAATTCCTTCCCGGAGGATGCAGAGAATAAGTCTGACATTAGAAACCAAAACATTCACTTGCTGACCTAAGAGTAGCAGTGCTCTTACAAAGGAATTTCAGAGGGAGATTAGAAAGAGAGACTGCTGAATTGCAGTTGATAACGAAGCTCAAATACGATACATCCACCTGGATTGAATCGAGACTTTGGTTTCCTGTCTCACTACCAATGTGTGCTATTATCATTTGGCATCTGAAATCACTCCACTGCCCAGGATATAAAGACCAATCCACATGTTCCAATTCCCAATCAAGGTCTTTTTGAAAGAAAATAAATCCAGATCAGAACAGAGACTTTAAAAAAAAAAAGCTAT